AATCATCGGTCCAGTGGGGCAGAAGCTGTGGGTCCCGTGGAGGGCACAGACTAGGACATATGGCTGCACATAGAAATCTTGTGGAAAACCTTATAATGTTCTGGGGTGTCCACCAGAAAAGACAGCAAACATGGGTCTAAGCCAATAGAAAGTCTTTGTTGGCCAGCCAGCCACCACACTGGGTGTCTGAGATCCCAGCATAGCACTGAGCCTTTCTCAGGGTGAGCTTTTAAGCACAAAACCATGTTCTGCGCTGACATACTTCAGTTAACAAGAACAGTTAGCCAGAAGCAGAACTGCAACGCCAAAAGGTTGGTACAGCCTTAAGCTTAAACTTGTCTCATCTAACTCCTATAAATTAAATCAACCCACTATATTCATCTACGTTCTTCCATGCAGCATTGCCTCTCTTCCATCTTGCACCTGCTGCTTCCTCTGAGTCTGGATGACCTCTCCCACACACCTACATTCCTCCTCCTCTTCCTCTCTCTCCCCAGAAATCCCGCCTATACCTCCTGCCTAACTATTGGCCATTAAGCTGTTTATTAAACCAATCATAAGGTGCCATGGAAAAGACACATATTCACAGTGTACAAATTTTCTGCAATATTTCCCTCTTTTGTCTAAACAAAAAGGAAAAAAATAATTCTAGCAAGTAAAGCTACATACAATAAGAGCAATTATCAGATAGGAATTGCATTTGCAATGTCCAATCCATTTGTATTTGGCAAATTTGGTGAAAATGTTCTATTATCTACCTTATCTTGGTGAGTCTAAAGTTTTATACCTAATTTACTTTCTATTTTAAATTGTATTACTAGGCTGGGCAGTGGTGGCACATGCCTTTAATCCCAGCACTCTGGAGGCAGAGGCAGGTGGATCTCTGTGAGTTAGAGACCAGCCTGGTCTACAAGAGTTAGTTCCAGGACAGCCTCCAAAGCCACAGAGAAACCCTTTCTTAAAAAAGAAAGAAAGAAAGAAAGATTGTATTACTAACCCAAAACTCAAGGTAAACAACTCAAGCTTTTGTGTTTCCAGCCTTATAGACTTTGTATCTCTTATGTAAGTTTTTTTCTCAATTTGGTAACAAGGGAAACTGTATACTATAGTCTTCAATCATCATCAGAGACCCAAGAAGGATAAACTGTCACCTGAGTAAACAGGAAGTGCAAAGCAAGCAACTTCCAAAACTATAAAAAATGACAGAGACAGCTGGCTGCCTGGACAGTCACCCAAGCCTCCTCTGGAATGCTTGGACATCCAACTTTGCCTATGGGCCTAGAATATCTAACAGACTTTTCTGTGAAGCAGGAAATTTTTGAAGGACTGTCCTACCCTGTCTTGGCAAAGTAGGGCAGTTGCTTTTTATGTGTCCTGCTTGTCCAGTTTGGATAACATACTGTCAGCAGTTGAGGCAAGGGCAGTTTCTTTCCCAAGTGGCTAGCTTTTGCCACAAAGAAAGTAAACTCCAAGGCCGGGCTGGACCGACAGCCTCCAAAACAATACAGAGAAACCCTGTCTTGTAAAACCAAAAAAAAAAAAAAAAAAGGAAAGAAAGACAGAAAGTAAATTCCAATTAGAGGTTCTTCAATGCCCATCACCCTTTTTTGAAGTAAGTTGGTACTGCCAGGAAAACCTTATGTTATTAAAACATTTTAAATGTCATATTCTGTAGGCCTTTGAAGTGTTTGAAGATTACCTATATATCTAAAATATCTCTGTATAGTCTATAAAACATACCTAGCATGACTATAATTTTGATAGTTATAGGTGACTATTAACCGTATTTATTATACTAAATTGCTTTCAAAAACTAAAACTTTTCGTTACATTTTTAAATGAGCTGCATAAGTACAATACCTTAAACAAGAATAGAAACATTTATAAAGCATAACAAAAATACCCTTAAATTTGTATCAATATACAAAAATATCTTAAGAGTGGAAACATATATACAATATAAACAAAAGTAATCTTAAATTTGTATCAATATACAAAAATCCATACAAATGTAAAATATTTGAGATTAATAGTTGCTTTTTTCATTTAGATTGAATAATATACCCTTTTATCCTATCATTCCTATATATCCTTTTCTTTCTTTTCATAAAGAGATTTTTTAATCTAACCTCCCTTGCTTAGCTTCTTCTCTTACCATGGCCAGTAACAATTTGAAACCAACCCCTCTAAACAATGAAAAACACTCATAACCCATCAAACAACCAAAAACAATGCAGCTCACCTCCTGGGTATGTGGGCACCACGTTCTCATGCAGCTCACCTCCTGGGTATGTGGGCACCACGTTCTCATGCAGCTCACCTCCTGGGTATGTGGGCACCATGTCCTCTAGACTGCTTTCTACCGTCTAGGGGGATAGCATCCCTGAGAAAATTGCGATAATGGTCAAGTCCTGGGAGAGCCAGCTGCATCCCTTGTTGCCCAGTCTCTGTGTGATGGGAAAGTGTAAGGATTACCTGAAGTCCTGGATAAAGTAATCTATGAGACTTGACTATCTCCGCTAGCAGCTTTGAAATTTTTCTGGATGTAGAATTTTGAGGAAATTGCAACAGAGGCACTCTGAGAGGCTGGATCACCTGAGGTATTTGTCTTTATTGGTGCCTGGACTTTTTTTTTTTTTACTGAAAACACACAAACTTGTTTTCCTTACTTTTTTAAATCTTTTTTAAAATTTTTTACATTCCAATCCCAGTTTCCCTCCCTCCTCTCCTCCTCCTCTCCCCCTCCTCCCTACCTTCACACCTCCAGTCTGCTCCTTAGAGAGGGTAAAGCCTCCCCTAGGATGTCAACTAAGTCCGTCCCATCACCATGTTGAGGCAGGACCAAGGCGCCCCTCCCTAGCCATGTCTAGGCTGAGCAAGGCATCTCTCCATAGAGAATGGGCTCCAAAAAGTCAGTTTGCACATTAGTGTTAGATCTTGGTCCCACTGACAGTGGCCTCATATACTGGCCGAGCCACACAATTGTCACCTGTATTCAGGGGTCCTAGTTCAGTATGGAGTCAATGATCTCTCACTAGCTTGGGCCAGCTGATTCTGTGGGTTTCCCCATCATGGTCTTGAATCCTTTGTTCATATTATTGATCCTCCCTCACTTCAATTATACTCTGGGATATAAACACACAAACTTTTAAATGTAGCATATATGTCTGTATTAACACAAGTTTGGAATATGCCATGTGCACAAGTTAGCTGAAGATGTTTTTTTGTTCTATGTTTGAGCAAGTAAAAGGCATCTGTCATCTTTATAAGTATGTTTGGACTGTATAGCCAAACCTCTATCCATGACATATGAAAGGACGGCATGTAATCATAAGTCATGAGGACTCTGCAGTTACAAGATTTATCATGTCTCATCCAGTCTCACAGTTGTCCCCATGACTAGGGATCAGCATACACATCACCTGTCCTGTAGTCTTTCTTGGCTTTTTTCCTCCATGTCTATAGCCAAGATTTTCAGGCGGTCTCCCCCAATCAAATCTGATCTTCATTAATTTTAAAGGAATCCATAGTTTTTCCTGTTTCCTATGGAAACAAAAGCACAACCTCTCCACTAATGCAACACATTTTCTGATTTCCATTATTAAGCTAAGACATTCTTACACTATATAGGTTGGTTTAATTTAGCAGTTTCCATAATCCAATATCTCTCAGCAGTTACTGTTTTTTGTTTATTAACATTGTAAAAATGCAAAGCAAACGAAGAAGACTTACATTGGAGCTGGTAAAGTGCTTGCCTAGCATGGGAACTACAAACAAGCACCTCCCCCCAAAAAGATAGAAGAGAAGAAAGAAGAGGGGAGGCCGGGAGATGGCTCAGGCGGGAAGCGCTGTTTGACAATACTGGGGACCTGAGTTCAGGTCTTGGTGTCCACTTTAAAAATCTGGGCATAGCAACATGCACCTGTAATCTCATGCTGGGGGAGCAGAGAGGATCTTTGGTGCTAACTGGACAACCAATTTTGAAGAATCAGCAAGCTCAGTGTTGAGAGAGAGAGAGAGAGAGAGAGAGAGAGAGAGAGAGAGAGAGAGAGAGAGAGAGAGAGAGAGAGAGAGAGAGAGAGAGAGACTGTGTCTTTACTAAGTAAGCTGGGAGCTGGAAAGTTGGCTCAGAAGTTAAGAGCATTTGATGTTCATACAGAGGACATGGGTTCAATTCCTAGCACCTACAAAGTACCTCACAGCTGTCTGTCACTCAACTTCCAAAAGATCTGATGTCTGCCCAGCGTTGGTGGCACACACTTTTAATCCCAGCACTCGGGAGGCAGAGGTAGGTGGATCTCTGTGAGTTTGAAGCCATCCTGGTATACAGAGCAAGTTCCAGGACAGCCTCCAAAACAATACAGAGAAACCCTGTCTCGAAAAACAAAACAAAAACAAAAACAAAAACAAAAAAAAAATCTGATGTCCTTTTCTGGCCTCCTTGAACACCAGGCATGCTTACGGCTCACATACATACAGATGAACAAAACACTTGAACACATAAAATAAAAAACAGGGTGAAAACTAAATAGACATGACATAGACCTCTGGTCTTCACACACACAATCAAACGCTACAAACAGAAATGCAAAGGTGGCTTAAGCACTGCCAGCTAATAGTTATTCTCAAAGCATTTACACAGTGTCAGGTATCTGGAGTAATGGAGAGATGACACCAGGCTTGGTGGCTCAGGACTGAAATCCCAGCTCTCAGAAGGTCAAAGTGGGAGATTCAAGGCCAACCTGAGCCTGTCTCAAATGAAGCAAAACAAAACAAAACGGAAAGAGAAGTCTGAAGGCAACTGGATGAAGTAAGAGCAGTGCAGGGCGTGGACGGCAGCACGGCTTGCAGAGGCCCTGAGCGCGGGGGTGGGGGGTGGGGGGTGCGACGACTGTGCCCCTCCCAGGGCGGGCCATGGTTGGACTGTGCCCCTCCCAGGAGCAGTCGGGAGGATGCAGCACAGTGCTCTGGAGCAGCTGAGCTGGTCTCCAGTGTTCTCCACCTCTGGGTGAACGTGATGGCTCTGGGGTTGGCTCTGGGGTAAGACGGACTTTAGAGCAGCTGCTCATTCCGGCTCCACCTTACTCAGGAAGTGTTTCTTTACCACACTGACCACATCCCCAGGTTGCCTTGGAAACACTCTATGGGGCAGGAAGAGTTGGGGCACAGTCACCCAGCAACAGGTGGTAGCCTCCCTTCCGCCCTCTGAGGCCAGCCCTCCGAGGCCAGCCCTCCAGGGTCTTTCAGATAACTACACACACCCTCCCAGCATGCACTGGGAAGAACGGCTCTGAAGACAGAGAAATCCAAGACTGGCTCAAGGTGAAAGGTGAGGTGAGGGGTTCAGAAGCAGATGCAAATGGGGCTTGTGGCAGAGATGTGGGCAGGCGGCAACAAGAGAGGCAGATGGGCTAGTGACTGGGCAGAGCTGGACTAGTCGGATGGGTGCCCAGGTCACAGACCTGCTACAGTTGAAAGCACAACAGGCCCAACGGCTGGGCCACCTCTGAGAGGAGCGGTAAGGTGGCTGAAAGACAAGGTGCACTTGGGAGGCGTTCTCTCATTCTTGAGAGTGAAGCCAGACCTGATAGCTCCAGACCTTGATCTGTCGCCCGCGGGGCTGGGAGGGGAAGTGAGGCCTGTGACTGTGTAGCGGGGCCTCGCGGCCTCTTCTCCAGTGTCCCCTGGCTCTCCTTCGTCCTCGGGTCCCCTTTGCTCCTCTCTGGTTTTGCCACCCATCCTCAATAAGCCAATTAGAAGAGGCAAAATGATAGTGGGAAGCGGGAAAGGGAGATTTATTCAATGTGGCCACACTCTGGGCAAAGAGATCCAGCGTGCACTCATGGAGTGTACACACACACACACACACACACACACATGCACACGCATGCACACGCATGCACACACACACTCTTTCTCTGTCATACACACATATACTCTCACACACTCACACACACACACACACGCACACACACACACTCTCTGTCATACACACACATACTCTCACACACCCACACCCACACACACACACTCACGCGCACACACACTCTCTCTGTCATACACACACATACTCTCACACACTCACACATACACACACACTCACACACATACACACACTCTAACACAGACTCACACACACTCAGGAATACATGCTCACACACACACACACACAGTCTGTCTCTGAGGTACTGAAGTGAAACTACAGTGTAAATAGAAGGCCAGTGATTTGCAGTCAGGAGTCAAGATGTGGTCCACCCACTGTCCCATACTGTGAGGTGGCTGAGTTGTTAGAACTGTGTTGAATCTCTTTCCAGGACACAGGATCCCCTCTCACTGGCTCCCTTTCCTTTTCTTAGCAGAGACATTCCCTGCTTCACCTGCTGCCCCTCCTGTGTCTCAGATGCCTTCAACTCCTGGGCAGCCCTTAGGGCACACGGAGGGGCTCCCAGAGTCTACAGCAGCGGAGGCAGTCCTCCCCTGCGGCCCTTGTATTCCCATCATGCTGGGCCTGGCCTCTCTCACAGCCTTCTTCATCATAACTACTGCCGTACTGGCTGAACGCCTATTCCGCCGCCCAAACCCAGACACCAGGCAGAGGGCACCCACCCTCGTATGGCGTCCTGGAGGAGAGCTGTGGATTGAGCCCACAAGCAGCGCCCGGGAGCGCTCTGAGGACTGGTATGGCTCCTCCATGCCCCTGCTGATGGACAGGGTTCCAGATCCCCCGACTCCTGGGGGAACCTTGGAAGGCAGAGCAACTGCTCCACCAGCGCCTTCAATCCCACACTCTTCTCCCAGCTCCTTAGTTCCCCAGACCCCACCAGAAGTCTCAGCCCAGAGCACCTTCTGGAGGCCTCAGGCCCAAGAGGAGAGGCTCGACGCCACAGGCCTAGCGAGCTGGGTTGAGCCTGAGATGAGACAAGAGACTGGAATGCAGGTTGGGAGTCCCAAGTCCTGGAGGATGAGGCAGGGAAGCCTTGAACCTGACTGGGGTCTCCAGCCTCGGGTCACCCTGGAGCAGATCTCTGCGTTCTGGAAAAGGGAAGGCCGGACCAGTGTTGGCTTCTGAATCTTCAGAGCCTGTAAGACTAGCCTCCCACCTCAGAGCGGCTGAAAGGGGTCAGCTGCAGCCTCAGGCCTGGACTCCACTCTAGATGTTTCTCTAGGCCCTGCCTAGAGTCTAGGGCCTTCTGTGTGGAAATTTCTACCTTGGCATCTGGCTGTGGGCAGGCTGAGAGTGTGGACCGCCTGTGTATCACGGCTTGCACTAAAGTTCAGCTTTGGTTAAACTGTCCAGGAGTGGGCCAGAAGGCTTTGAGATGGCATGTCAGGGTATAGATTAACCTAAGATACCAACTATATCAGAATGAAGAGGTCCTGTGTGGGATGCTGACCAACATCAAGGAACTGGTGATTGTGTGTCAATCATGTGGACACGAGATGGCAGGAATCTTGTTCTCCAGAGACAAAGACCCTCTTTGTGCCCAGACACTCTCACCAACCACTGTGAACAAAATAGAGGCCAAGTCCAGGAGGAGCCTTTGACTGCATACAAACATTGGCTTTGTCACATGGAATTTGCTGAGCCAAGCTGGAAAGGCCGTCTCTTGACTAAAATTGGGACATACTCAAAATGCACCAGCAAGCTCCTCTGTCCATTGGCTATGGCTGTACATCCTAGAACATGAAGTTTTACTATTCAGTGTTAAGGAAACCCTGGACTAAAAAGAACTGAGTTTGTTACAGTATGGAAATGAAGACTGTGAGGAGAAGGGAAACTCCCCAAACCCTGCCTACCTTTCCTTCTGGCTTGTTGGAGTGGTCCACAGAAGCAGGTTTGCTCCAAGACAGACTTACTTATAATGACCCATCCCATGGAAACGGACCCCCAGATATCTGTGGACTCACCAGCAGTAGGAGAGCAATGGAGTTTCCAGTCCCTGGAAATCTGAGCTCCCAAACTTCAGTCAAGAATATGAAGATTCTGCCATATTCATTTACCTCTTGCTTTGTTATTTGCTTTACATTTTTACTTAAGTTGGTTCACTGCTTAATAAATTTGTTTTAAAAGGAATCTTTTATTTTACTACAGCCTCTATAAATGGCAAATCAGTATTACTTGCCAAAAAGTAAAAAATAGTATGAAAATCAGCTAGGTATGCTAGTGCATGCCTTTAATCCCAGCATACATTATACTGAGGCAGGTGGATCTCTGTGATTTCCAGACTAGCCAACTGCTACATTGAGACCTGACTCAAAAGAAAGCAAAAGCATGAACATAAATACAATGTAGATAATGAATTCCTAAGGAAACAGAGTTGCTTATTGGAGACGCTGACCTCAAATTCTGCTCCCAGTTAAAGGAAAAGAGGATGAGCCGGAGGTGGTGGCACATGTTTTAAATCCCAGAACTCTGGAGGCTGAGACAGGAGGATCCCAAGTTCAAGGTCAGGCAAGGCTACTTAGTAAGACCCTTCTTCAAAGGGAAGAAAGGAAGGACAAGAGGGAGGGACAGAGGACGGAAGGGAGGGGTTCTTGCTCTGCCTTTGACTCATGAGCTGGGGGAGCAGTCATTTCTCATTCGCCATTAACTAACAGGACTGAATTTTGGGTTCTGCCTGTGAGGCGTACACAAAAGGTACAGGATTTAGAGCTTGTCCATGCACATTGCAAGAACCCAGAAGAGGTATCGAGGTGTTGAGGTCAAACCCAGGCAGGGCTCTTGGATCCTGACCTGACCCTGTTGTCATGCTATCATCTACTTGGAGACTTCAGAAAAGTGGCTTGGTTTTGTTTCGTTTAGTTTCATTCTCTGTCTGTACAATAAGACAATAAGAGAGTCCAGAGGTGAACAAGGGCTTTGTTGGGAGTTCCCAGCTGTGAAGCTGGAGGGGAAGATTTTATAACTTAAGGATGGCTGCATGGAAGGATGGGTAAGGATGGATGCAAGGAGGAGTGGATAAATGGAAAGATGGGTGGGTGGATGGATGGATAGAAGGAAGGAAGGATGGATGGATGGGTGGAAGGATGGATAGAAGGAAGGAAGGATGGATGGGTGGAAGGAAGGATGGATGGGTGGAAGGAAGGATGGATAGAAGGAAGGAAGGAAGGATGGATGGATAGAAGGAAGGAAGGATGGATGGGTGGAAGGAAGAAAGGATGGATGGGTGGAAGGAAGGATGGATAGAAGGAAGGATGGATGGATAGAAGGAAGGAAGGATGGATGGGTGAATAGAGAGAAAAATGAGTCTTAGGGTTTCTATTGCTGTAATAAAACACCATGACCGAAAAGCATCTTGGGATGGAAAGGTGGCCTTGTTTTGCTTACGCTTCTGTATCACAGTTCATCATCAAAGGAAGTCAGGGAAAGAACTCAAACAGGGCAGGAACCTGGAGGCAGGAGCTGATGCAGAGGCCATGGAGGGTGCTGCTCCTCATGGCTTGCTCAACCTGCTTTCTTATAGCTCCTAGGGCTGCCTATCCAGGGCAGGCCCCACCCACAAAGGGCTGGGCTCTGCCCACACCAATCACTTATTAAGAAAGTGTACCACAAGCAGGGTGGTGGTGGTGCATGCCTTTAATCCCAGCATTTGGGAGTCAGAGGCAGGAAGATCTCCAAGCTTGTGGCCAGCATGGGCTACATAGAGAAACCCTGTCTTAAAAAACCAAAAAAAAAAAAAAAAAAAAAAAAGAAAAGAAAAGAAAGAAAGAAAGAAAGAAAAGAAAATGCACCACACAGGCTTGCCCACAGGCCAATCTGATAGGGGCATTTTCTCAATTGAGGTTTCTTCTTCTAAAATGGCTAGCTTGTTTGGAGATGACAAAAAATTACTGAGCACAAGTGAATAGATGAGTGAGGGCTGTGTGGATAGTTTTAAAGATTTAATTTATTTTTGATTTTGTGCATGTCTGTGTGTCTGTGTGCTGGTTTGTGTATCCCTGTGAACAAGAGAGAAGGCTGTAACCCAATAGGCGGGCGAGGGCTGTGTGCATGGCTAGATAAACACACTCGTGAAGCCAAGGGTGGATGTGTATGACCTTCCTGAAGCAAAGCCCAATCACTATCCCCAGAGCTACCTTCATATTCTAAAACTGAGAACATAGACTGCGGCATGCAAAGAGCTCAGTGAAGGAGACACGAATGACACAGATTGTTAGGCGTGTCAGCTGTGATGGAGAGAAGGCTCAGCCATGATGGGCCGGTGTTGTTCTAGCAGATGCGGCATGGCTCACAACTGCCTGTAAGTCCAGTTCCAGGAATCTTCCACGGGTACCCACACACATGTAGGTAGGGCGCATATATACACATGCACGTGCGCACTGATGCGTGTACGGGCGCGCGCGCGCGCGCACACACACACACACACACACACACACACAGAGACTGGTTAGGAGTGAAAATATTGATCTAGATGGGGGTGCTGAAACTCTAATTGGCCACTGCTTGCACTTGTAGTCTCTTTGCCTTCAGGGGTCAGCATTTACAGGTAACGCCTCAGAGAGCTCCGGGATGGCACCTGGTGAGGCCACCAAGCTGTCCCCTTACCACAAAGTGGCCCAGCTGGGCCTCTGCTCAGGTTTACACCCTTCACTCTTTCACACATGCACAAGCCAAAACGGGCACACAGACATACATGTTATTAAAACAAAATCTTTAAAACTATAGGCACAATTTATACTCTCCTTCATTTTAAACCTCTTAATTTTTTAAAGATTTATTTATTTTTATTTTCTGTGTGTGTCTGTGTCTTGCCTGAATGTATGCACATCATGTGCCTGGTGCCCACAGAGGCCAGAAGAGGTCTTTAGAGCTCCTAGAACTGGAGTTACTGATGGTTGTGAGCTGCCATATGGGTATTGGGAATCGAACCCTGGCCCTCTGAAGGAACAGTCAGTGCTCTTAACTCTTAAGCTATCTCTCCAGCCCCTGTCCCCTCTTTTTTATGGTGTTTTTGAGGAGGTCTGGAACTCACAATCCTGTGTGCTGGGATTGGCATAACAGGTAAACCCCAGCACGCCTTCTTCAACCCTCTCTTTCTTTATTTTAATTGTGGACTCTGATGACTCCTTCGTTAATGGCTTTAGGAACTGAAAACATTGTAAACAAACAGCAATGCACTGTCCATTCTGTGCCCTGATCAGCGGCCTTGCCCTCTGGGATTCCAGGCCAAAGCTCATTTTGTATTTTCACACTCCTTCCTGAGACAGACGCCACCCTTAAGCTTTGTAACTGGGGGTTCTGAGCTCAGCTTCATCAGGGCTTTATCAGAGGGAGGCCACAAAGGCCAAGCTGGGGGCACTCTCGTTTGGATCTTAAATGTCCAGAAAAGGCTCAAGAGTTACAGGCTTGGTCTTCAGGGTTGGGAGGGCCAGCTGAAGGTCGCTGGAGATGCTCCCTAGGAGGTAACCTTGCTCATTCAGTCTGTCTCTACTGTACGACTCCCACGCTATGAGTGATTTTGCTCTGCAACCCTCCTTGCAGGATGTGAGGCTGCCTACAAACAGGTCTAAAGCATCTAGTGTTAGCAGCGATTTCCTCTCAGTGGAAACTTTCCCTCCTGGGAGCTCAAGAACGCCCACCCCGTCACCCCTCTCCCCTCAGGCCCCCCCCACTCCCACCCTCCTGTCCCTGCCCCTCCACCCCCCCCAGGGTTGCATGTATGAGTAATGAGCAAATCGGGAAGAGGTGGCCCCTCCCTGGAGCCACCTGTCCATGGTGCTGCTCCCCTGAGTTGTCCCCCATGCTGAGGTGAGTCTTTGTTTTCTGAATCATCCATGATCCAGTGAGGAGCCCTAATAATCTCATAGGTTCACGATGGACTCGGGTGGGTAATTATTTACTTGGTCTGTATTCCGTATACTGTCTGGGGTGAATAGGCATTTGCTCTCATCCATTCAGAAAAAGCATGTGACAGAGACCAGCTGATCAATGAATTAAAACCTGCAGACCCACCGGGCGTTGGTGGCGCACGCCTTTAATCCCAGCACTCGGGAGGCAGAGGCAGGCGGATCTCTGTGAGTTCGAGGCCGGGCTGGACCGACAGCCTTCAAAACAATACAAAGAAACCCTGTCTCATAAAAACCAAAAAAAAAAAAAGATAAAACCTGCAGACCTGAGATCAGGCATGCCCCTGTCAGCAGTTCCCGGTAGCAGGCTAGTCACCAGGCTGGGCCAAGGGGACAGCTTGAATGTTTGAGTTAGATTCTCGTTTGAGCAGGATAATAAATTCCTTCTCAAAGGAGGGGGAAAAAACTATGAACTAGAAGGATTTTTCCTTCAAGAGGACAGAGGAATTGTGTTAGCGCTTTCTTTGTTTTCACCAGGTAGGGTGTAGAGTTACTAAATAAAAGTGAGGAGGAACTCCCAGGAGTGGGAGACTTTCCAGGGGAGGAGTACCAGTTTGGTATTTTTTAAATTAATTTCTCTTTTAGATTTATCTATTTTATTTTGTGCATGAGAGTTTTGCCTATATTTATGTATTTGCTCCATACGCGTGCCTACAGATGGTTGTGAGCCACCAGTGGGTACTGAGAACTAAACCTGATTTCTCTGCAAAAACAGAAAGTGCTCTTCCCTGCTGGGCTATCTCTCCACTCCTTGTTTTGTTTTGTTTTTTGTTTTTTTGAGACAGGGTTTCTCTGTGGCTTTGGAGGCTGTCCTGGAACTAGCTCTTGTAGACCAGGCTGGTCTCGAACTCACAGAGATCCACCTGCCTCTGCCTCCCAAGTGCTGAGATTAAAGGTGTGCACCACCAACGCCCGGCTTCCTTGTTTGTTTTTTAAGACATGCTATGTGGCCCAGGCTGGCCTTTAATTACCAATCCCTCTGCCTCATTCTCCCAAATGTTGGAGTTACGGACACATATGTAACCTGTGGAGGCCAAAAGTTAATGTAAATCATTTCCCTAGACCACTCTCCACATTATTCACCCCATACACACACTCACACACAGATCCTGTGTGTGAAGGTCACAGGACAGCTCACAGGAGCTGGCTCTCTTTCTACCTTGTAAGTCCTTGAAAGTGAACTCCGGGGATCAGGGCTGGCAGCAGGAGCCTTTGCCCACTGATCCA